TGGCTGAAATGATCAAAGGGGCTAGAGAGGTGGGGGAAGGGGTTGGGGAGGGCTGTGTGGGGCCTGGATCAAAGCAGTCCAGCCAGATGGACGAGCACGAGGGGACATGAAAGAAGTCCAGGGGTTCCAAGGGGAAAGAGAGAGACTGACCTGTCCAACAAACCTGGACTGCCAGAATTAAGGGCATCCTGTCCGCACAGCTGGAACTGGGCTCACAGCCAGACACCATGGGTTCGTTCCTGCCCCATCCCGTCCTCCAGCTTCCTGTGGCTCCTCTAGCAAAGGTAGAACTTAAAGCTAGGCAGATGGTGGACCCTGATCTGGTTCTCCTCCCGACAGTTCTTTCTGAAAATTATCAAACATACAGAAAAGTGGAAAGAGTTGCACATGGAACACTCATGTTGCCACCTTTGATATTCTGCAGGTGACCTTCCTCTAATGATTTTATCACATATGCATTCATCCCTCTCTCCATCCATCAACCCATTTTGCTTTTGATACATGTCCAAGCAATTTGCAGAGAGCTCCTGGCCCATTCGGACAGTTGAAGAGTGCATTGCAGTGGCATATGAAAGGAGAGATTTCGTTGTTATGTTCATTGCCCCAGATGTCACAAATCCCTCCCCCATCAAAGCTTTTACCAGTCTTGTGGAGCTCCCGCCCTTTTGATGCCTTTTACTTCTGAGCTCTCAACATCACATGTCTCCAGGGGCCTGACAGGTAATGTAAGAGATTGAAGCAGCCCTGGAGTAAGACTGTGGGGAGTGGTGAGAGCTGAGGAGACAAGAGAGCACCTGCTCCCCAGAGAGGGACATCCACTGTCAATGTCAGTTCGTTGCGGCCAGGCGACACTCATGATGTTCTTATATGAAATCTTCCACTTCTTAAATGCCTGCAGATGCTTATATGCTAGGCAAAGGGTATTAGGGTGACTCCTGTGTATGAGTTTTTTGATAACTGCCATAACAAATTACTGTAAATTTATTCTTACATTTCCATAAGTCAGAAGTCCAACATGAGCCTCATGGGGCTAAAATCAAGGTGTTGGCCAGGCTGCATTCCTTTCTGGGGGCTCACGGGGAATCTTGCTTATCTGGGTTATTGACAGAATTTAGTTATGAAGAGTTGAGACTCCTGTTTCCTTGCTGGCTGTCAGCTGAGGACCATTTTCAGCTTCTTTGGCTCATGACCCCATTCTTCTGTCTTCCATCAGCACTGGTGAGTTGAGCCCCTCCTGTATGTCTAGTGTTTGCTCTTTCCTTCTTCTCTCTCTGACAGCCAGAAAAGCTCTTTGCTCTTAAGGACCCGTGTAATTGCACTGGACCCACCTGAATAATCTGGGCTCCTCAGACTCATCTCAAGGTTCTTAACCTTAATCCTATCTGCAAAGTCCATTTTTCCATGTAAGGTAATGTGTTCATAACTTCTGAGGCTTGAGGCTTGTACATCTTTAGGGGTCACTACTGTACCTATGACACTTGGCTTCTGGCTGGATACACAAGATGGGCAGTTTGTTATTCTTTCTGAGCATGCCTGGTCCTCAGCTCCCCTTTCCTGGACCCTAGGAAAATCCCAAATATCTCTACTGAAATATACCCCACAGATGAAAAGAAATGAAAGACTAAAAGGAATCTTAAATTTTCTATAATCATATTGTTAAGAATAATATTGGTGTTATTTTTCTGAAACATTATTAAATATTATAGAAAAAACAAATAAGTAACTGTTAATGTTAAGAACCTGAATTTTTAGCAAAAGAGAGAAAATAAATAAAACCAGACAAAACCAAAAACATAACAAGAAAAGAAAACTATAGATGAATATCCCTTATGAATATAGATGCAAAAATCCTCAACAAAATACTAGCAAACCAAATTTAGCAGCATATAAGCATATAATGACCAAGTAGGATTTACCCCAGGAACGTAAGGTTGGTTCAACATATGAAAATCAATCAATGTAATACACTATATTAATAGAATAAAGACTAAAACCCATATGATCACATCAGCAGATACAGAAAAAGCATTTGACAAAATCCAACACTTTTTCCTGTTAAAAAGACATTCAACAAACTAGGAATAGAAGTATTTCCTTAACCTGATAAACACCATCAATGAAAATCCCACATTAACATTACGTTCAATGGGAAGATTGAAAGCTTTTCCTTCTAAGATTAGGAACAAAACAAGGATGTCTGCTCTTGTGACTTCTATTCAGCATGGTACTAGAGTTTCTAGACAAGGCAATTAGACCCCCAAAAAATGCATCTACATTTCAAAGAAAGAAGTACAACTGTCTCTATTTGCAGATGACGCTGTCTTGTATATAGAAAATCCTAAAGCATCCATGCCAGAAAAATATTATTAGAACGAATAAATTAGTTCAGCAAGGTTACAAGATAACAGGCTTAATTTTTAAAATCTATTGTATTTTTGTATGCCAGGAAGGAACAATCTAAAAATGAATTATATTTACTAGCCATTTCTCCAAAAAGGATAAACAAATAGCCTATAAACACATGAAAATATACACAACATCATTAATCATTAGGAAAATGCAAATGAAACCATAATGAGATACTACTTCACACCCACTAGAATGGCTGTACTCAAAAACTTGGGCAATAACAAGAGTCGGTGAGCATGTGGAGAAATTGGAACCTTCATACGTTGCTGATAGGAATATAAAGTGGTGCTGCCACTTTGGAATCAGTTTGGCAGTTCCTTAAAGAGTTAACGTGGAGTTAACCTTGTGACCCAGCAGTTCTACTCCTTGGTATAGACCCAAAGGAACTGAAAACATATGTCTACATAAAAACTTGTAGATGAATATTTATAGCAGCATTATTTATAATAGCCAAAAGGTAGAAACAACCCAAATGTCCATCGATTGATGAATGCTGAATAAAATGTGGTATATTCATACAGGGGAATGTTATTCAGCCATGCATGAACCTCGAAAATATTATAAGTGAAAGAACCCAGACACAAAAATGTTATATGATTCCATTCATGTAAAATGTCTAGGATAGGAAAATCCATGGAAATAGAAGGCAAATTAGTCATTTCCAGGGACTGGGGGTGGGGATAATGGATGGTGACTGCTAATGGATACAAAGTTTCTTTTGGAGGTGATGAAAATGTTCTAGAATTAGATAGTGGTGATGGTTGTGCAGCATTGTGGCCATATTAAAAACTGAGTTACACACTTTAAAGGGGTGAATTTCGTGTTGAATTTTATGGTATGTGAATTATATCTCAGTAAAAAAAGGAGATGTATTGTAAAATTAAAGTTCAGTAAAACTATATTTTATATGAAATTTTAGCATAAACTCATGATATATCTATTAAAATATATTTCTAGCACTGACCACTGTAAAGGCATAGAAGCCATAACCAACCCAGCAGTAATCAATGCACTTAGTGCCATATTGTAGTATCTGAATGGTTATATTGATAATATTAAGGAGTCAAGGCTCTTCGGCAGAATGGTTGGTTCCAGGTTAGAGCAGGAAATGTACAAGTTAAGCCTGGAGGATCTTTTGATATCTTTTGTCACAAAGCAGGGAAGGTATCAGTTCTCAGTATAGCCATGGACAAAGGACTCGGCGCCAACTTGAGAAGACTGCCTTGGGTTAAAGATGGACTTACTTGGGAACCAAGAAAAATAATACTTGCATTGAACTGAAACATATTAATTATGTTAAAGCTTATGAGTTCATAACGAAAACAGTTAATTGGCCACCTTTGGAGGATGCTAGGGAACCAAGTCCTTCTGTAAACCAGTAAATTAAGAATCAAGAACTTAGCCTGTCTTTCCTGTACTTCAGAGTAGCCAAATAGTTGATGTGGTAAAGAATTTCTCCATAGAAGTATTCCAGCTAGTAAAGAATGATAGAAAAATCACCGTTTTGCAAACATCTGATGAAATGAAGGAATTAGTGTGAATCATCTATGGCCGCCAATATCATAGAAGGAAAGACAACTGGACATTATGTGTTTCCCAAGGAAACCTCACACCAGCACTCAAGAAGAGGCTGCCAGAATATCTCACGGAATTAGATCAAGCCTCTAGATCTAACCTCCAGTTTACCAGAGCCAACGTGGGGCAGACAGAGGAATATGTTCAGAGACACTACAGCAATGCCAGAAGCAAAATGCAGACTGAGGGGAAAACTGGGACAAATGACCCAGTTTCTTAAACAAATACATTGTAAGGGGGGAAGGAGATCTAGGAGACACATCCACTCAAAGCAGTGTGTCTTGATCCTGATTTAAATAAACCAGCTGCAAAAAGACACAAGAACATCGGGAGAGTTTGAACACCAACTAGATATTTGATGATATTAAGGAACTACATTAATTCTTTTGGGTGTTATGGTTAAAGGCCCACAGGAACAGGGCCATCCAACCCCAGGCTTACCACGGGGCTGATGGAGAACAAAGGAAGACGTGCTCTGTGCCCACAGAGTCCAGGGCGGCACAGAGGAGGAGCTGAGCCAGTGAAACCCAGTTTAATCTTCCAAGTTCATGGATATATGGTTCTTCTCCATGGAGAGGAATGTGCCAGGGGTAGGGAGAGAGGCAGGAGTGTTACTGGAGGGCTGCCCTCCACATGGAATCATGAGGGTGGATAACCACGTTCCTATCACATTTGAGGCTTAAACAAGTTAGCCCGTGTAAAGCACCAACCCCCAGTGCTGCACTATCACTGTTGAGGCTCATTGTTTTGTAACTGCTTGTGTACAAAGCTAGGAGGGTCTTGTGTGTGTGTGTGTGTGTGTGTGTCCCTGTGCACTATGTGTGCAGGGATTGGAGGCAGGATTTCAGGATGCCAAGAAGAAGAAAGTTCTGAAGTGACTAGTGTCCCCGACTTTCCCTCGTCCCGTAAACACTGGAGGGGAGGTAGGATTGGCCATTAGCTGAACCACGTGCCTGAGTTCTCTTGGCAAGATGAGAGCTGAACCTGTCCTCTCCCCGTCCCGTGTCCCCCTCTAGCTGCAACAGCAAGCGCTACCTGGAGACGCTCCCCAACACCAGCATCATCATCCCCTTCCACAATGAGGGCTGGTCCTCCCTCCTCCGCACCGTCCACAGCGTACTGAACCGCTCGCCCCCGGAGCTGATCGCCGAGATTGTGCTTGTCGACGACTTCAGTGACCGAGGTAGGGCCCGTTGCACCCAGCTTCCCGCCCCCAGGCTCCATTAGTGATGTGCCAAAGAGGTGGCAGGTCTTCCCTCC